CACACACACACACACACACACACACACACACACACACACACACACACGCACACACACGCACAAATAGATGAATAAATAAAAAAGATATACATGAAAACCCACAAAACCATAACAATACCTCCCCCACCTCCTTTGTGTTCTCTGTTAATCGGTTAACTCCATGGTAACGAGATGGTGTCGGGTTTGTTTACGTCCACTGTACACACAAAAAAGCTGACCTGACTGAAGAAGGAGACTTCATCTTATTATTCTCAGAAGGTAATGGGGTTGTACAAGGAGATAGGAGTCATTTTTGTTTTCAAGGAAGCAGCGAGCATTCATCCAGCAGTCATGCTGCATGGCAGTCGTCAGGGGTACAACTCAATCTTGGTTTTAGGGGGGGGGGGGGGGGCAGTTGCAAGATACTATTGTACAACAGCATGGTGCCCTACCCTGCTGTCCTCCTGTGTTTCCCACTCTGGGCTGAATGTGTGGAAAGGCTGACTCCCTTGGGTGCAGTTGGAGAACTGGAAGAGGCTGGAGAACATGCGCCTGTTGTCGGACGTGTCGGCGAAGATGGCGTCCTGGAAGTTGACGCCATGGGGGAGGATGTTGTAGTTCTCATCCATCCTGCAGAGGAGATCGGACAGGAAAACTGTGAGGAGAGAGCTGACGCTGCTGCGGAAATTATCAAGGTTGTAGTTGACAGTGGCTGAGTTTTGAATTTGCGTCAACCAAATCAAGTACGGTTTTGCAAGTTTCGTAGGCCGATGCATTTCATAGGTTAGAAGAGCTTCATATTTAATAAGCTATCTTCTTACTTTGCAGGTAAAATCTTCCTTTGCAAAACAACTAGCAACAACAGCTATCACATATATGTAGAAGATAAAGAGCTCAACATTTGAAGTCTCACTTCATGGAAATACTTAGCCTCAAGTGGCAAACCACACATTTATATCTAAACACAGTATAGTCTTGTTTATACAGCTGACTGTAGATCAGTCTGCTCCAAAACAAGCTGACAAAAGACAAGAACTGTTAGAGGGTTAGATGAAAGTTCCTATTTAGCTAAATGCACTTCTGGACTGCCAAAGAGTTTTATGGGATGCAATTATATTTTAGTGAAAACAATAAAACTTCTAGGCTGTTGTAAGTACAGTTTGAATTAAAAGAGTCCAAATGTTTAGAGTCCAAATGTTTGTTGGAACTAATAAGTTCAGGCTGGGCACTTCACCTGAGGAAGAAGAAGTAGGAGTAGTTCTCCATCACGGTGTGGGACTGGCAGGACAGGTACCCCAGTCCGGTCAGGTTGAGCCTTGATCCAGAGGGCACCTCCAGCATGCTGCCCCAGGCCTGATCGCACAGCAACTCCACCTCCGCGCAGTAAAGCAGCCCTTCCTCCGCGCCCTCGTACCCATACCCGAACCCGAAGGGCAGCGAGTTGTACAGGCTGCCCGCCCCGCCGCCCAGGGGCTCCCGGTGGATCGCCAGGACGCGGGCGTACACGATGATCTCCGCCAGCTCCGCCCGGCAGCCCTCGCTCAGCGGCCGCCACTCGGAAGGGAGCTGGCACCCGTGCGTAAAAGTGTCCAGATGCGCAAAAAAGCCGAGTGCTGCGAGGAGGAGAGCCGTGGAAGACATCCCGAAGGAAAGAAAAATGTGATTTTACTAATTTATTACAATTGTTTTATGAGAGAAGTCGGTCTCCTCAAGCATGCAAGTTGCTAAAAGTTGCACATCTGGTTGGTGACCTGGAGGCTTGAGGATACTGTACTTCACCAAAAACTCTAAAAGCATGCACGTAACTTTTTGCACAATGTTCGACCACAGTCCTTTTGTCCATTAAACTAAACGTGCACAAACTCAGATCTTCTCACCTCCAGACTCTTTGAGAGAACTCAACAGTCAAACCAATTTGCAGAAACTTAAAGCTGCTGCTGCGTTCCCAGTGCTTCCACCTCCTCCATCCGCAGCGGGAGCCACAATAGGCTTCACCAGAGCGCACGGGTGCTGCGTTCACGGACTGATATAGACGCTCCGACATTTGATGCTTCCGTGCGAACTGATTTGGTGGGCTCGAGCGCTATCTACTCGGAAAAAAACAATATGGTTTCCAAACGTCTTCCAAATGTTGCAAAACATTGTAAAGCAAAATGCACATCCATAACTCCTTATTCATTTTATTTGTCAAATGTAAATAAATAGTAATAGGGGCTATACTGGCAAACCATTACCTTTTTATCACCAGCTTTTTCACCAGATTCAAGGTCATCATCTTTTGGGTGCAATTCTTATAGTTTCCATTTTTCCGATAGCTTGAAAGCAACCAAGAGGATCAGAGATGGGAAAAAAACGACCAGTCAAAGTGGTTTACTGTTGGAGAGCATGCCGAGGAGAAGGTCCTCCTTGAAGTGGTTCCAAGTGGACAACAATGACATCAGTGATTAATAACAGTAGTCTGCAGTGGAACAGACAAGGATTGGGGTAATGCCATTCATTATCCCCTGTACATTTCTCAATAGGCTACTAAATCTCTACAGCAATCATGATGCATCAGAGGAGGTTCTGTGTGGATCCATCAGCTGATCCTGTGTGACAATTTGGCCTCAAAATGCATATCATCACACAAAATAATTAGGACCGTATTTAGGATGATACTTTTCCACCACAGCCAAAGATTTCAGTGGTGTGCATTTTTTTTTTTAAGCTATGTATCTCTACTTAGAAAGCACTGCCATCTAATGGACACTGCCACGAACAGCATGTTTATATACTCATTTTTATATAATAGAACATCTAAATAATTTGAATAAATGCTGTGATATTTTATATTTGACCTAATGGGCCACTCTGTACACAAGTTTGGACCAAAGCGCAAAAAAGGGATGTTTATTGTAACTCATGAATGTAGATAGGGATCTTCATGTGATCTTCAAACACTATCGTCAGGTATTACATCAGGATTAATTATATATATTTCTTTGCAAGAGTTGTCCCCTAAACATGACATGTCATAGCAGCAATCCAGTCTTTCGTTTCTTGTTTTCAAAGTGCAATGTGACTCCTTAAGGGAATTCCCGCTGTCAGGTGAGGGCTGTCTCCGCCCTCAGTCTTTCCCTGATGTGTAAAACATGCGGATGGGCGGGTCGGAGCACTCACATCGGCTCTGTTCATAGACACAGCTCTCGTTCATATCGAGAGCTAGTCACCGCTCTGCGACGTCACTTCGAGGAGGTCGGAACTGCAGCTATACGTTTAATGTTGGCAGGAAAAGAAGGCAAATGAGCTTTCAAAATAAGAGCGTAAACGTGACGAAAAGTGTCAAAGTTGGCCTTAAAGTTCGAGCATAGATTAGCAATATCAATGTATTATTAAAATAATGGGAATGAGTAAACAAATGATCACCCCTTTTATCTCGTTGTTGCTATTTTCCCTATTCCTTTGTATTATCTGACTTATAGCCCATAAAATTGCATTAATGGTCAATAAAAAACAGAACTTCGAACAGTATCTCTAAAAGAAATATTTTTTCTAAAGAAGGTGTGTTTTAAAACATAATACAAATTACTTAGTAAGTTGTGCTGAATTCTTGTACCATTTTCAGACTAAAAAAACCCAGATATTGTCGAAGTGCGGTTTTATTTTGAAAACAATCACCGGAAAGCGCTTTGTTTCCGTACGTCACTTGGCGTTGCAAATCCAGAAGCAGCACAAGGTTGCTCGACACATTTCGCCATCTCTCCGAGTGTTTCTCTGTATTTCTGGAGTGACTAGCCGGACTGCGTTTAGTTTCCGAGTTGACAGCAGGTGAGTGGAAACATTTCTGCGCGTTTTTAAACGTTTTTATCGTGACGCAGATTGGCTCAGCTCAAACCGCATCCGAGTTGCGCAAGTTGCTGGTAACTTTTCAGTGTTTACCAAAGAGTCCCACACCGGATAGGGCCCACGTCGAAGAAAGCTGTACGACCGAATGCTAACAATAACATATCTACCAATTTTCACAGTGCGACCGTGTGTCCGTAGTATTCAGCGGTGGTTTTAAAGTGTCTTGTATCCCACTGGCAACCACTGTAGTATTCTTTAAGGGGGTTACAGTTCAGCTGTGATATCTCTATATTGTTATTTATTTGTGACGGGCGGTCAGCAAGTCATTGTTTGAGCTCAGAAGCAGATCACAGTGTGTATCGCATTCAGCTCTTGTTATTATAATGTGATTAAACTATCATGTGACATGCTGATGAGAGAATTCCGGCTGTGTGCTGCTTTTTCTGCTGCTGAATGCTGAAGCACTGAGTCATTCGATGATGTCAGCATGGGGCTTTTGTATGTGCCCTGTTGGCGTGTAAGCGCTTCAGTTAATAAGACAGGCTGTTCAATAATAATCCACAATAATCCATCATTTTTATACTGTTTTTAATTCTGCCTCAAAATGATATCAAATGAAAACCAGATGGAGTCAGTCCAGTTCCTCCTGTGGATCTGATAATGCCCAGACTACATGATAACTACCTCTGAATCCAACTAACATTGTATCTCAGCGTTTGCAGAGTGACTCCCAGTCTCCTCACAGCTCAATAATAAATTCAATATTCCAAAGAGAAAATCAGCCACATCTTTAGCGATATTTGATCAATATTCAAAGTCTCTGTCTCTTCTCCTGTTTTTCTCCCTCTCAGCGTCATGGCGTCTGGAGGCCCCGTGTTGAATGGCGACATCTCTTGCTCTCCCGTACAGTCGGGTGCGGTGGAAGAAACCCTGCAGCAGATGAACATCCTCATCCAGGAGAACCGAGACCTGAAAGGTGAGAGCAGGTGGGGGGAGGAAGATGTTTCTCATTCAAGCTTTTTGTTTGTTTTTCCTCTTCTTATCAGGTCTCAAAGTGCCCAGGGTCAAAGGTCAGGGTGGAGTTTCAGAGTTTTAGCGTGATAGACCAGCCGGAGCAGTTTGTTGGGACAGGAAAGGTCTAATGGCTGAGGAATGGGTCGTAACTGAAATGACTTGGCTCGTGCGATTTTCATTTATTCAAATTATTTTCGGTTTGTGTCTGTCGCCACCTCAGAGGCCCTGCGTCAGACCAACCTGTCGATGAAGGAGCGTTTCGAGGGTCTGTCCGTGTGGCGGGTGAAGCAGCGGGAGGAGCGGGACTTCCTGGAGAGCAGGCTGGAGGAGGCTCGGGGCCACATGGAGTCGCTGACCCTCCAAAACCAGGAGCTGGGCAAGAGGGTGGAGGGGGACGGGAGGACAGGGGGAGCTCTGGGAAGCTTGCTGGTGAGAATGTAACCCATTTTATATTTATTGGATCTAGGCAGCTGAGAGCTAATGTTCCTATGATTACATTTTTTATTTTTTTTTTATGATCTTCATTATATAATTGTATAATTCTCCAAGGAGACTTTGTCCGGCTCATTTTACATTAAGTTGCACGAGATTTAAGCTCCTGTCAAATTGTAATCTCCGTGTGATGTGGTCTCCAGGCGGTGTCGTCCAATCAGAGTGCAGAGGTGGATACCCTGCGTGCCCACGTCGCTCGCCTGCAGGCAGAGAAGAACGACCTGGTGGCCATGAACTCCGAGCTGCAGCTGAAGGTGGACCAGGACTCACACGACGACTCCTTCATTGAGATCATCAGGGTCTCGGTGAGGAGTCACAGACACCTCCTATATAATCAGTGTGTCTTCTATTCCGCATGGAAAGGCCTCATCTAACAAACAAAAAATCCTCCACCTCCCGCTCTGCGATATAACCGGGTGTGTATTTTCTCTCAGGATGAAGTCATAGACAGCGTGAACGGAGTGTGTGGTTCGGAGCGCAGCCGACGTCCGGACCTGAGCATGACGGCGTCCCGGCTGGAAAGCGAGGAGATGACCGTCAGCCAGCTCCTCCAGTCACTGAGGAACGAGACACAGCGGGCCGAGCGGCTGCAGGGCGAGCTTCAGTCCTCTGCCGCCAGGTAGGGGGCCCAGTTCACCACTAGATGATCCACTCTCATCGTTTATAGCATCAGGAAACACAGGAAGTCAGAATGTTAGTGGTTCCTTGCACTTCTATTTCCTGTAAACTGGACCGAATTGGGAGGGAGTGACGTATTTCTGTGTTAGTTTTATTTGTTTTTAAGTGCAATGTTTTCATGAAATTCTTTGTTTTTAAAAAACACACGCCTCTTTACGTGTGTTAGACATATTTTGTGAACTGTTTGTGAAAACGCACTGTCCAACAGGATTAGACAGCTGAAGGAGAGGAAGGCGGATGTGGAGAAATCAACACAGACTCCCCAGGCAGAGGCCAAGGAGGATTCGGGGAAAGAGGAAAAGGTATTTACTCAACAGTGAAAGTCATTTTATTGTAGTGAACGAACGATGTAATTCAGTTAGGTGGTGTCCCTGTGACGTGTGTATTCTGTCGACAGCTTGATCACATGGTCCACTGAGTTTTGTGATGTTTAGTTTTTCATACCGTAATATTCATGTGTCATTGTGCCAACGTTTTTCAGGCGGCGTCCGAGGTGGAGAATCTGAAGTCTCAGACGATGACGCTGTTCAAGGAGCTGCAGCATGCCCAGAGCAAGCTGGACGAAGCAGAAGGCATGAAGAAGAACCTGCAGGACAGGTTAGTCCAGTATTTCTCAAACTGTGGCCCCTCTTGTGGGGCGCGGTGATATTACAGGTGGGGCGCAGGGGGAAATACAGAATTATTTTATTTCAAGAACTTTATTGAGAACTTCACATATTACAAAAGTACAAAGTACACGGACATAACACTAAGTCAGTAATAAATACATGGCAAAATGCCTGTACTTTTGTGTAAATGTTTATGTTATGCCGTTCACAGGTTACGTTTACGCATGCGCGACAGCCAAGATTCTTGGGGACTCACGTGTAGCTCAGTGTGCTTCCCTTCGCCACATCCTACCTCTGTGAGATCGGCTTTTCTGCTGTTGCCCCTTCAAAACAAAATACAGATCTAAGCTCAACATTGAGCATGAATTAAGAGTGACCGTATCAAGTCTGCAACCCCGTTTTAAAAAGATTTGTAGTGGAAAGCAGCCACTAATACTGATACAACTTGATGGCTCACACATATCTGCACTAATTTTGTTTTGTTTTGCACAGGTTGCACGTTATTGCTTTGAAAAGATATGTAGTGCAAAACTCAGTAAAACCAAATATTTGAACTTGTTTTGTTTTTCACAGGTTGCACTTTATTGTTATTATCTTGAAAAGATATTCAGTGCAAAACTGGTTAATTGCAGCCGCAATAAGCTATTTTTTGCAAAATATTAGTTGTTTTTTGCACAGATAGAACTTTATTTGCATTGCTCTAACAAAGTGATTGCACATTGTATTTGTTTTTTTCTGATGGAGTAATCTGGTTTACTTGAAAGTGATTGCAATTTTCTTTATTCTATTATTTGAAAAAGCACGGATGGAGGAGTCACAAAATGTTGTTGTTTCAATAAAAGTTCAACATGGACCATTTTGTTACAATTTTGTTGGGGCGGTGGGGCATGAACATTTTTCTTCCTCCAAAGTGGGGTGTGATAGAAAAAGTTTGAGAACCACTGTGTTTGGCCAACATATGCACACACAGTCAGATCTTAACCCGCGAACCATTTAGTGAAGGAGCCAATGACAGTACGGCATAGCAACCTGTATTGATCCCCAACAGTTAAACAAATTACAGGGAAATCCTCTTTCTTATGCAAAGGTTTCCTCCTTCAGTCGGCGTTCCCGTGCTTTATCTTGACCTGTACACACATACACAGCTTTTGTCTCGTGGCTAGATGTCGGGAGGTGGAGCAGGACGTGGTCACTCTGAAGGCTCAGCTGGTGGAGAAGCAGGCCGTTCAGTCGGAGAACGACCGGCTGAAGCTGCAGGTGGACAGCATGCAGGCTCAGAGCCAGATGGAGCAGAGGAAGGCCGCGGATGAGAGGTCAGAGACAACACAGATATATGTATGTATGTATATATGTGTGTATGTATGTATGTATATATGTGT